TCCCTCCAATGAGCAGTCGGGCTTTATTTCCTGGAGGATGGACTGGTTGGATCTTCTCGCAGTCCAAGGCACTCTCAGAACTTTCCTCCAACACCACAGCTCAAAAGCATCGATCTTCCTTCGCTCAGCCTTCCCTAAGGTCCAGCTCTCACATCTGTAGGTGACTACAGGGAATACCATGGCTTTGACTAGGCGGATCTTCGTTGCTAGTGTGATGTCTCTACTCTTTACTATTTTATCGAGACTGGACATAAATTGGACTGTTAGGTGTCTTGTGTCCAAATTTGGTGTCAATTTCCCCAGTGGTTTTTGACTTCTGATGGTAGCACGAACTAACATTACATTTTTATTTATATCGATTATTAGTTATTATTATTAATAATATACTATATATAATATATATTAATATATATATATATATACTCAAATGGAATGTGGGAGCTCTTCTGTTAAGTGAGACAGATGGGGAAGGACACACTTGACAGGAAAAGTGACGTGGGGAAGCCTTGGAGCCTTAAGGAGGAAGGAGAGGGATCAAGGAGGGCGAAGAGGAGGCCAAAGGCGAACAGCAGGTGTCCTTTGTGGGAACCGAGGGAGAGAAGAAGGGAGCCCGGGCCCTCCTGAAGGGAAGGGCGGGATTCCTGGCGCCCTTTCTCGGCTACTCACAGCTTCAGGTTCTCGTAGGCTCGCCCCGCTGCGGTTGCCGCCGCCATCTCCGCCGCCGCCGCCCCGCCTCTCCCTCCTCCAACCGACCGGCTCGAGCTTGGCCTCAGAGACTCCGCCTTCCTTCTCGCGCCTCACCTGACGGCCTCCACTTGGGCCTTCAGGACGGCGCCCCACACAGGACAAAACTAAGCGGAAAGCATTTCGACGCCCGCGCTGAGTAAGGCGTTTGGGATTGGCTGAAACGGAGGCTCGCAACCATGTCGCCCTATCCCGGAAGCGAAGCAGCGCGTGGGCGGGGTCTCGCTATTGTGACGTCAAGTTCCCGCAACCATCCCCTCAGACGCCGAATGGATTGGGGTAACTCCGCCCCTTCAAAAAAAGGAAAACTCTTCTTGCACCAGCGAGGAACGGAGTGAAAGAGCAAGGAGCGTTTTGATTGGCTCGGCTTGGCAAAAAGAAATGCCTCACTCAGAACTCCACGCCTGGTTTTGTTTCCAGCCACTAGAAACGTAGCAGGCGGAATGTAAATGCAATTGGGGAAAAAGGGTCGTCAGGCAGGGCCAGTGGCGCAATGGATAACGCGTCTGACTACGGATCAGAAGATTCTAGGTTCGACTCCTGGCTGGCTCGGCTAAATTTTTTTCTTCTGTAAAAAATTAATATTTTCATTTAATGAATCCTGTTGCATCACTGTAGATTCTCTGGGAGTTCCAGTTTGGAAAAATGGATGGTCATAACAAATTTTCTCCAAAAATAAAAAAAGTTTTGCAGTTTGCTGGTTATATAGGAATTTGACATTTCAAATCCAAACCCTCAGATTTTTCTCCTAAACTCCTTCTACACTTTGACAATACATTCTTCTACACTGCCATATAAAATCCAGATTATCTGCTTTGAACTGGATTATATGTCAGTGTAGATGTAATGCCCATTATCTGCTTTGAACTGGATTATATGAATCTACAATGACATATAATCCAGTTCAAAGCAGATAATGGGCCTTACATGCGTTGAATTATCTACAGTCATATAATCCAATTTGAACAGCATTATAATGGTAAATGTACACTCATAATGCAGATCGAACCTCATTGAACTGGAATATTTATTTATTTATTTATTTACAGCATTTATTCACCCCGCAGGGGACTCAGGGCGGATTACAGTGTACATATATGGCAAACATTCAATGGCAATTTGACTTACAACATGGATGAGAGCTAATAAATTGAAATTGAATCCAGACAAGACAGAGGTCCTACTGGTCAGTCGTAAGGCCGAACAGGGCATAGGGTTACAGCCTGTGTTAGATGAGGTTACACTCCCCTGAAGACGCAGGTTCGCAGCTTGGGAGTGATCCTGGATTCATCGCTGAGCCTGGAACCCCAGGTTTCAGCGGTGGCCGGGAGAGCTTTTGCACAATTAAAACTTGTGCGCCAGCTGCGCCCGTACCTTGGAAAATCGGATCTGGCCACGGTGGTCCACGCTCTTGTTACATCCCGGATAGATTACTGCAACACAATCTACGTGGGGTTGCCTTTGAAGACTGTTCGGAAACTTCAATTAGCCCAGCGGGAGGCAGCCAGATTACTCACCGGAGCGTCATACAAGGAGCATACCACCCCCCTGTTGTGTCAGCTCCAATGGCTGCCGATCCAGTTCCGAGCACAATTCAAAGTGCTGGTTTTGACCTACAAAACCCTATACGGTTCCGGCCCAGCGTATCTGTCCGAACGGATCTCCCTCTACGTCCCACCTCGGAGGTTAAGATCTTCTGGGGAGGCCCTGCTCTCGGCCCCGCCTCTATCACAAGTGAGATTGGCGGGGACGAGGGACAGGGCCTTCTCGGTGGTGGCCCCCCACCTGTGGAATTCACTCCACGGGGAAATTAGATCATCGTCATCCCTCCTCTCTTTTAGAAGGGAATTAAAAACATGGATATGGGACCAGGTCTTTGGGTAATCTGGCAGATAAATAAAGGATAATGACGATTGATAGGAATGGAAAATGTGAAATGAAGCTATGGACTCTGAGTTGCGAACATTGAGCATAAGATTGTTTTTATTGACTGTGATATATATTGATTCTTCTTAACTGTTATAACTGTTTTTAATCGCTGTCTATATCTTATCTGTATTACTATTTTGTAAGCCGCCCTGAGTCCCCCCTCGGGGGTTGAGAAGGGCGGGGTAGAAGTACACGAAAGAAAGAAAGAAATAAAACATATACAGACATAGACAGAGGCTATTTAACTTTTTCTGGCCGCCAGGGGAGCTGTCGCTTTCATCGTCCATCTGCAACACTGATGAAGTACTTCCGCATTCCCCGCATGCTTTTTGCTGGAATGCTTTGCTGGAGTCTTCTTTATGGCCTCATAAATCAGTTAATTTAGCCTCCCCACACTTTAAGGTGGTACCTTAATTTTCCTACTTGACAGATGCAACTGTCTTTCGGGTTGCAAAGGTCGACAACAGGCTACACACAATTGGTTGGAAACCCACTCCAACCCGGGCTGGCTTCGAACTCATGACCTTTTGGTCAGAGTGATCTTAATGCAGCTGACACTCAGCCAGCTGCGCCACAATCCCGGTTATAATCCAGTTCAAAGCAGATAATGGGCATTACATGCTTTGAATTATCTACAGTCATATAATCCAATTTGAACAGCATTATAATGGTAAATGTAGTCTCATAATGCAGATTGAACCTCATTGAACTGGAATATATGAGTCTACCAGTGTTTCTCAACCTTCCTAATGCCATGACCACTTAATACAGTTCCTCGTGTTGTGGTGACCCCCAACCGTAACATTATTTTCGTTGCTACTTCAAAACTGTAATTATGCGACCATTATGGCTCGCAGTGTAAATATCTGATATGCAGAATGTATTTTCATTCACTGGACCAAATGTGGCACAAATAGCTTATATGCCCAAATTTGAATACTGGTGAATTGGGGGGGGGGGGGTTGATTTTGTCATTTGGGAGTTGTAGTTGCTGGGATTTATAGCTGACCTACAATTAAAGAGCATTCTGAACCCCACCAACATCAGAATTGGGCCAAACTTTGTTTTCTGTGTTTTCTGTGTTTACTGTGTTTTCTGATGGTCTTTGGCGACCCCTCTGACCCCCCCTTCGTGACCCCTCCTGGGGTCCCAACCCCCAGGTTGAGAATCACTGGTACACTGATATAATCCAGTTCAACCCACATTCTGTGGCAGTGTAGATGAGGCCTCCTTGTGTTACCATGGTAGAGCCAAGACCAAACCCTGATCTCACAGTGTCTGAGTCCAACATTCAAACCATGACACCACACAGTCTAATCCCAGACATTTTGTGGATATGCAAAACTGTGGATAATAGTGAACCATTTTGGAATGAATGCCTTCTTGCCCAAGAAGGCATTTGTCATTTTTAAAGTTTTTGTCCTTTTTATTTTATTTATTTATTTACCTTACTTATATACCGCTGTTCTCAGCCCGAAGGCGACTCACAGCGGTTCACAACAAATACGAACAGCAAAAATTCAGTGCTACAGTATAGAAACAGTTAACAACCTAACACATTACACATTACACGACCCATTCACTGTCGTCTCGTCATCAAAAATATGTTCCAGATTCATCATCCATTGTTCCATTCCAGTGTTCATTAACCAATCATTGCACTAATTATTCGAACGCCTGCTCAAACAGCCATGTCTTCACTTTTTTGCGGAATACCATTAGAGATGGTGCTAGTCTAATGTCGTAGGAAGGGCGTTCCACAGCCGAGGAGCCACCACCGAGAAGGCCCTATCTCTCGTCCCCGCCAGCCGAGCTTGAGAAGCAGGCGGGATCGAGAGCAGGGTCTCCCCGGAAGATCTCAAAGTCCTGGTGGGTTCATAGGCAGAGATGCAGTCGGATAGGTAGCTTGGGCCGGAACCGTTTAGGGCTTTAAAGGCCAACGCCAGCACTTTGAATTCAGCCCGGTAGCAGATCGGTAGCCAGTGGAGTTGGCGCAACAGCGAGGTTGTATGCTCCCTGCATACAACCTTTTTAAAAAGAGACCCAAAGCTTAACAATACAAAAAAAATACACAATTGAAAACCTAAAACATATCCACATAATTAATCATAGGGTTATTAGAATAAATAATTAAATTCATCGATGTTCAAGTGCTATAGTTACAGTGCATTATATGGCAGCATAGAGGTGAGTCTGAGATATACTGTTTCCTCTCGTTTCCTTTTCTGCGCAGGCGCTCTAGCCATTCTCCCTACTGTATTATGCCTTCCCATCCGACAGGTGGCGCTCATTCTCAGCCCCCGCCGACTTTTTTTCGTTCTCCTTCACTGGCCGGAAAGAGAAAAGAGGAGACGGAGCTTCCGCTCATTCATCGCGCGCGCCCTGTGTGTTGGGAGTGCGTTTTCTTCTCAGCGAGTAACGGACGCGGCCTAGTCTCCGTGCTCAATTTTTGGTGGTTTATTCCTCACTCGCTTAAGCATTTTCGGCCTACACTTTTGCCGCCATGAAGCTCGTGAGGTAAGGAAGCGGGCTTTTTGTCAGAAGCCACGCGGGCCAGGCCTGGGGTCCTTGCTCTTGGCCTGCAGGCCTTTCCTAATGGCTCCCCACTGAGTTATTTCCCATGCATTTAGCATGGATGGGCATAGATAGTAGGCCTCCTTCTATTTCTTGTTTCTTCCAAAATTGTGTCACTCTTCATAGCTCAGAGTCATATTCCAAACTCTGATATAATCTCATATTATTATCTATCTATATAAAAATGCTTTGTGCATAATGAGTACCTTAAAAACAAAAGAACGAATGAACGAAATCACACCAAATTTGGCAACGAAACGTCTCACTACACAGGAAGTGACCATCACTCAAAAAATTATGATTTTGTCATTTGGAGTTGTAGTTGCTGGGATTTATAGTTCACCTAAATCAAAGAGCATTCTGAGCCCCGCCAACGATGGAATTGAACCAAACTTGGCACACAATTCTCCCATGACCAACAGAAAACACTAGAAGAGTTTGGTGGGAGTTTATTATTATTTTTATTTGGAGTGCTTCTACCCCGCCCTTCTCAACCCCCTAGGGGGGACTCAGGGCGGCTTACAAAAGGCACAATTCGATGCCTAACAATTCACAAAATACAGTACAATATGCAATATACAATACACAAATTTACCATGTAATGTCAACAGTTATAACTAATTAAAACAATCAAACAGTATACTAGCAGCAATAAAATTATCTTGTGGTCAATGTTCACCAATTCATCGTTGTAGTTCACCTACATCTAGAGAGCACTGTGGATTCAAACAATGATGGATGTGGACTAAACTTGGCACAAATACGCAATATGCCCAAATATAAACACAGATGGGGTTTTGGGGAAATAGGCCTTGACATATGGGAGTTGTAGTTACTGGGATTTATAGTTCACCTACAATCAAGGAGCATTCTGAACCCCACCAATGAAATTGGGCCAAACTTCCCACACAGAACCCTCATGACCAACAGAAAATACTGTGTTTTCTGGTAGTCTTTGGTGACCCTTCTGACACCCCCTCGCAACCCGCCCCCAGGGCTCCCAAACCCCAGGTTGAGAAATGCTGCCTTAAGGCCATCCAGTCTAACTCTCTTCAGCAGAGCAAGAAAACATAAAGCCTTCTTGACAAAGAGCCATCCAGCCATAGATATAGATAAATATATAAGATTCACACACATGTCTATGTCAGATATAGTACCATAAATTTGAAAGGGACCCCTAAAGAAGGACAATGAAATGTTGCATGTTCCAGAGTAGGCAAACCAGACAATCTCCACATCCAACAGTGGCAGAGAAGCAGCAAGATATACTGTTTACCCACAAGCATAAAGAAATTACATATATTAGAAACCAACACTTTCTCATTACTTTATTTTCCAGATCACCAGACTGGGCCACAGCAATGCGTGGCAGGAGACCGCTAGTATTATATATAATATTAATAAAGTTGTACTATAATATATTCTATATCATGTATACTATAGCTTACTATATAATACAATATATTATATAATACTAATAGTATAATGTACTCGTAATGCATTAGTTATATTGTGGTATAATATACTACAATGTAATAATACAATAACTATATTATATATTACATGTAATATGACTAATATTGCAGTGTTGTGATATAGTGCAATATAATATATAATACTAATCTGCTATAATCGAGAAAGGCAGGGAGTTTCAGAAAAACATGTATTTCTGTTTTATTGACTATTCTAAAACCTTTGACTCTGTGGATCATAATAAATTGTGGCAAGTTCTTGGTGGTATGGGCATACCAAATCACCTTATCTCTCTTCTGAGGAATCTGTATAAGGATCAAGTAGCAACAGTAAGAACTGACCATGGAACAACAGACTGGTTCAAGATTGGGAAAGGCGTATGGCAGGGTTGTATACTCTCACCCAACCTATTCAACTTGTAAGCAGAACACATCATGCGATGTGCGGGGCTTGAGGAATTAGGTGAAAATTGCTGGAAGAAACATTAACAACCTCAGATATGCAGACGACACCACTTTGATGGCCAAAAACAAGGACAAGCTGAGGAGCCTTCTAATCAAGGTGAAAGAAGAAAGCGCAAAAGCTGGGTTGCAGCTAAACATAAAAAAACCAAGATTATGGCAACAAGAATGATTGACAACTGGAAAATAGAGGGAGAAAATGTGGAGGCCTTGACAGACTTTGTATTTCTAGGTGCAAAGATTACTGCAGATGCAGACTGTGGCCAGGAAATCAGGAGACGCTTACTTCTTGGGAGGAGAGCAATGTCCAATCTCGATAAAATAGTGAAGAGTAGAGACATCACACTGGCAACAAAGATCTGCATAGTTAAAGCAAGGGTATTCCCCATAGTCACCTACGGATGTGAGAGCTGGACCATAGGGAAGGCTGAGCGAAGGAAGATAGATGCTTTTGAACTGTGGTGTCCATACTTCAGGAAATAAAGCCTGAATGCTCATTGGAGGGAAGAATAGTAGAGGCAAAGATGAAGTACTTTGGTTACATAATTAGAAGACAGGAAAGCTTAGAGAAAACAATGATGCTGTGGAAAATGGAAGGAAAAAGGAAGAGAGGCCGACCGAAGGCAAGATGGATGGATGGTATCCTTGAAGTGACTGGAATGACCTTGAAGGAGCTGGGGTGGTGACGACCAACAGGGAGCTCTGGCATGGACTGGTCCATGAAGTCACAAAGAGTCGGAAACAACTGAATGAATTAACAACAATCTGCTATGCTAATAGTACATTATATATACACGTATTGATAATATTATAATGTAATACAATAGAAATACAATATGAGATAATATGATATAATATATTAAATATACTACTGATAATGTATAATATATATAATATACTGTTTTATTATATATTTGTATATTTTAAGTTGTAATATTTATGATTGTGGGTCGCTTTGAGTCTCCATATGAAGAGATAAAACAGGATATAAACAAAATATAATCCTTTGAATCAATGAAGGTTTGGAATTACTGTATTAAGTACTTTCAGAGTCTTTAGTTCAAAATTGCTCCCTGAGAAATTACTGTCTCTGTGTTTGAAAGAATCATAAGTATAAAAATGTGTATTTTCAAATAGCGAGCTGCATGGGAAAATGGCAGGTGCACTTGGGGCCCTTTCAAAAAGGCCCTATATCTCAGGATCTGATCCCAGGTTTTCTATTTATCCCAGATTATCTGGCAGCGCAGACTCATATAATCCAGTTTAAAGCAGAAAACCTGGAATCAGATCCTGGGATATAGGGTCTGTCTGGATTTGACTCAAGTCAAATGGGCCCTTGGTTTGGTTCCAGCACCCTTCCTCTTAGGGATATTATTACAGTATTTATATCCTGCTTTTTCTTTCCCAGGATTTCATCACACTAGGGCATGGATCCACTTTGAATCCATTTTCTGCCTCCTGTAGATTCTGGAGCTTGTAGTTTAACAAGGGCCCTTTAAACTGCTCAGTCAAAGAGGATCTGGGCCTCACTAAACTACATCCCAGAATTCTGCAGGAGACAGGAACCAGATTTAAAGCGGATCCATTATTGTTGTTGCTGATTATTGGTTTTGTCTAAAAAAAATAGTCTTTTGTTTATATAGACCTTGAATGTTTACCTGTTATATGCTGGAAGCTGCTCTGAGTCTCCTAGGAGATAGAGCAAGATACAAATAAAGTATTATTATCTATGCTCTTTTTAAACAGAGGGCCAGGTCACAGTCCCTCAAACTGTTGGGAGGGCCGGATTATAATTTGAAAAAAAACATGAATTCTTATGCACACTGCACATCTTATTTGTAGTGCAAAAAACTCTTTAAAACAATACAATAATTAAAATGAAGAACTATTTTAACAAATATAAACTTATTAGTATTTCATTGGGAAGTGTGGGCCTGCTTTTGTCTGATGAGATAGGGTTGTGTGCTTTCAAGTCATTTCAGACTTAGGTTGACCTCGAGCGAGGACTGGGTAAATGACCTTGGAGGGCCATATCCGGCCCCCGGGCCTTAGTTTGAGGACCCCTGCTCCAATGTGATGAGGCAGTTTAAGAGACCCAAAGCAATTAACAATACTAAAAACAATACAGTATAGAATTTTAAATATATACAAACTCAAATAGAATTAAACATAAATAAATCCATAGATGTTCAAGTTCCATTATATACAGTGATATAATTAAATGGTGTCCATTATATAATATGGCAAAATCAAGCCTTGCCATCTGGAATTATAAAGAAATACCAAGCTGTTGATGGTTGCATCAGTAGGTGCAGAATCTGTGGATGCAGAGGACTAGTGGCCACTTCTAGGGGTTTCACATTTGCATCTGGTTGTTTCTTTTTAAATTCATACTTCAAAAAGTGGAATAATAAAGGTAGGCCAACCTTAGGTTAGGGTGTGGTCCTTTTCTTGATGCTTATCTATCTATTCAATGCTGAGTTTTATGGGAGTCAGAAACAGGTGAATGATTGCAATAGTGAGATGTTCTGTTGTCAGCTGTCCTGTAAAAAGGACTCAGTGAGAAGGAAAGAGAGGAATTTAACATCTATCCAGCTTCTCTTTCAGGTAGGCATCTCCAGTTAGGACTGTTGATCCCAGCTCTGTTTGTGGACAGGATCTTAAGGGCTTTAAATATTTAACTGGGTTTTTTTTAAAGTCTTTCTGTTTTGTCACTACTTTATAACTGCCTTAAATAGTATATGCTGTGCCTCATTTTAATATTTAAAGTCTGCTGGTTAGAAGCCCTGGTGTGAATAGTTATCCATATTTGCTATTTACTGGCACGGATTTGTGTGCCTGTTCATACTACCTTATATGTCAATGTTAATGCAGGGCCTCTGAAGATGTTATAATTATTCAACTAAATGGAGCAGTGAATCCCATAAAGTGTAAATTCCAGATACAGTGTTTGTACTGATTCCAGTGCTCTATTGTGTACTATAATGTGGGATTAGACCAATTATGTTTGTAATATGATGCTGAATGTTATTGTTTTGCATTGTGATCTCAAGTAAATTATCTCTTTATTTTTAAAAATGGTGAAAGTTTATTATCTTGCTGTTCACATACATTTTAGTATGAGTGTTGCAAAAAATATAAAGGTTTCCTCAGCCTGAAAGGAAAGCTTTCACACATTCATTTATGTCTACTACATCCAAGCAACAAGTTCATTAAATTGACAGAGCACATTCTGAAATTATCCAGTGATTTGTAACATAGAAATTAAATTACAGCATGGCTCTTACTTGAATGTAAATTTTGCAGCACAGTCTGAAATTTTCTCCTGGGTCATGTCTATATGTCCTTAACCTGACATTTATCTTCAGGAGTCAATGCACAATTGATATTCTTGAGGACTTTCACAAACATCTCACAGAATAACACAATATTTTCATATAGCATTAATCACACTTGTTAGACTGAAGAATCGCTAACTGCCATTAAAGATTCACTGCTTGTAGTTGTTACATTAGCCTTTGGCCACTAAGATAGTTTAGAAGTGCTATAAATATTATTAACCTTGCTTTTTATGGAGATTCTAGTTGCAGAAAAAAACCTCCTTTATTTTACAGCCATGGATTATATTCAATATAAAAAATTAAACTACCTCTTTTAATCATAAATTGCAGATTTCTTATGAAACTAAGTCATGAAACCGTAACTATTGAACTGAAGAATGGGACCCAGGTTCATGGAACCATCACAGGTATGGGAGTTAGGATTCCTAAAACACAGTTACATTCTTTTTTTTCTGGCAGGAGTTCCATCTTCTCGGAATGTAATACTTGCACCTGGATAAAGCTTGGGGGTAACCTTTTTCAGAATAGTTAAATATGTATGAATATTGTAAGCGACATACTTTTACCAACTTTTACTCAAGCAAACAAGCGCTGTATACATCTGAGTGTCCCATTTTTATTGGACAACGACTTTGTGAATTCGATTGGGCTTAGACAGCAGTTTACTTAAGGCCATCCTACATAATTTAACTGGGATTTAAACCTCATCATCCCTTCTTGCACACAAATGCTGTTAAACACTATATCCTGCCAGCCTTCTAGACATCCACTTTCTCTGGGTCACTGTTTGCCTATTAACTCTTTTCATAGAAGTAAGTGTTAGATGACACTTTCACCAGGTCTGTCACTATTGGAGAGAGGAGGTGGTGGTTAATTATGGCTCATAGCCTTATGTAATTTATCTGGAAGATATATATCTCCTTATTTGCTTGGTATTGTAAACAGACTGTTAGGTTAGGCTGGGATTTCTGGTAGCTGAAGTTCAAAACATATGGAGGACCAAAGGTTCCGAACCATGGATTTAGATAATTAGAGGAAGCTCCTAACAGTATTGTTCAAGCAATAAAAAAAGAAAAATAACTTTTTAGTATCTCTTGTATATTTTTCCTTTTGATTAGCAATACTGTATGTAACTGTATTGGATAACAATATATAGGATGCTCACTCCATGTTTCTCCATGCAAATAATGGTATGATTCATTACTTGGTCTCTCAAATTAGAAATATTAATAAATGGCAATACAAGACTCTAAGATACCTGTATGCATAAAACGCTTTCTCGCTTATGTTTTTCAGGAGTGGATGTTAGTATGAATACTCATCTGAAAGCTGTGAAAATGACTCTGAAAAACAGAGAACCTGTCCAATTGGAAACTCTGAGTATTAGAGGCAATAATATTAGGTATTTCATTCTGCCAGACAGCTTGCCACTGGACACCCTTTTGGTGGATGTTGAACCAAAAGTCAAATCCAAGAAAAGGGAAGCAGGTTAGTGACTTTGTATTAGTTTACCATGGGTAGATATTTTTGTTGTGTATGTCTGTGTGATTATTTGAACTTGTATTCCATAAATATGCTTACTTCCTGCATTCATTCTTATACATATTGTCGCAGCCTTTTTCATTCTTTGTACACAATCTGGTGATCAGTTGTATACATTTTTATGCATACTGGAAGTAATTAATAGTTGGAAAGGCATTGTTTTGCTCATTTTGATATTTAATGTGATTTTTCTTAATTTATTTTACATAATAATTTCCTTCATCCTCTCCTTTTAAGCTGCAGCACTATCATGTTTTTGTTTAGAAATGTTTCTTGTTCTGTCAGCCACCAGGCAGCATAGTACTGGGTTCAGCGACCATAGCCTGCCTATCCTTCCAGTTCCAAACTAAAGTCTCAACAATATGCTGTTCATTCCTTAATTTTTTGGAAAAGTTTTTTACAGATCTGGATCATTTTAATAATGTATATAGCAGTGTGTGATTTTTTTTTGACATTTATAATATATAGTATTCAATGATGCAAAAGAGACAGAGATCTAGTTGTTTGGTTTTTTTCATGGCAGCTTTTTAAATGTTTGGAACATTTGTTCTGACTTCCTTCACAAGCTGTTAAAACAACACTGTAATTCCTTATGTGTAGAAAAGAGTCTTAAAAGATCAGTATGCCTGTTTTTGCTTTTGAAGAAAGCACTTGTACTGGGGACACACTGGAAATTAAGCTGTTGTGGAATCTGTCCTAGTGGGCTTTACAGGATTTATATCTACTTAGCAAATTTATCTGAATTTCGACAGGGGCTCACTGTGGTAACAGTAGCCTGTTTATTTGTGATCAAACTCAGAGTGCTAGAAATCCCTTACCACATTCCTTAATATACTGCATTTTGTCTGGTGTTAAAAAATGAATAGATAATCATTTTGCAACTAACCTCTGTTATTGTTTTGCTGACTATGTAGTGATAACTTTGATTTTACTAAATTTAAAATGGAAAATAAAGGTAGAACCTTTACATGCTACTATTTCATGTTTATTCAATAGAATTTCATTTCCCCCTTTCTTTCAGTTGCTGGAAGAGGGCGTGGGAGAGGACGTGGGAGAGGGAGAGGACGTGGCCGAGGAAGAGGAGGTCCAAGACGATAATTTCTTTATAGCAACTAAAATAAAAAAATGCCAGGCAACTTTGACTATTTTTTTGTACAGGTTTTGTTTAATGTCAATTTTTAATAAACCAGTGTGAAAATGTCTTGTCCGTTGCACATGACTCCCATGGAAACACTCTAATGAAGCCTTTCTTTGTTGCCTTTGGTACTGTTCTGCCCAAACTTGGAAATATAGCAAAATTTCTTCAAAATTCCCCAGAGGTGTAGAGCATGCTTCTAGCATAATCTGTCTTTTCACATATCCCGTTGTAACTTAAAGCACCTTGCACTGAGTTCTTTGTGTTCAATGTTGCTTGACATTATTATACACATTAAGCTCGAACCAATATATTGACTTTCTATAAAAAGGTCTTGTGAGTATTTTACAATAGTGTTTTTACTGCCTAAGAAGTTTTACATGGGAAAAATGAATGTAGGGAATGCATTTGTCTGGAAGTATTCCAAGATTAAAGCTAGCATTCACTTTAGTATACATTTCTGTTGAAAATATTTTGATAGGGAAGTATTAAATGTATGACAGACCCAGAAAAAAATTCTTGTAGTGCTAAAAACCTGGTCCTACTACATGTTTGAATTTGAAATGTTTTTCCAGTGTAGGGTATACATAAATATTTTGTTGCTCCTTGTCTTTAGGGAAGTATATAATGGGAATGTAAGTATCTGCTTCTCTTAAATTTTTATAGCTTTTCAGGAAGTTTATGAGCAGGTGATTACACTCCAGTGAAGGAAGGCAAGTAAGAAATGTGTCCTTCTGGGTGTTCTTGGACTGCAGTTCCCAGCATTCCTGGCCATTGGGTGTGTTTGTCAGGGTTGCTGGGAAATTTAACTCAAAATATCTGGGTTGCTCTTGCCTTGGTGCTTAATATTTCCCCAGTCCTGTTATCATTTAAATGTATGTGAAGCACCTAAAGAAAAAATTAGTAGACTGTTAGCTGCTTGAGCTTGCTGTTTCCCAATATTAGTAATTCAGTGATAGATAATGTTTTGCATGGTAAGTCAGGTAAATGAGCTAATATAGCTCCTAAAGGCTAGTATCTACTGAGAAATACATTCCATGAAGCATGCAAATAATTTGCATAGTCAGATCTATGCATTATCCATAGAAAAGTCTGCAATGCTGCAGCTTTCCAGCAATGCAAAACTGCTGTGTTGCACTTCAGACACTAAAATAACTTTCTTCCACTCAAAAGGGCTGAAATATACTTAATTGTTAAAGCCTTGGTAGTGTTTTTCTAGCCCTCAATTGCCATGTTTGTGTCTCTCAAACGCAATTGTAAACCTTTAGTTACTACAGAACAGCTTCTTCAACTACAGGAATGTCCAAGAGAATATTAGGATGAAAATAGCCGAGTTCTGTGTGTCTTGCTTATTGTTGGAATTTATAGCTGCTGTGGTCTTCAAGGTGGCACAGGGAAGTTGCAGCTGTTGCAATTCAAAGTCCAGTACTATCTACTCATTCGCCTTTTAATAAAAACTACTATTGCCCCAAGTGGTATACACAGAGTAGAAGCTGCCACAAGCAGCCCAATAACTGCCAGAGCACCACTTGGGTAGTCCTTTGTGACCAGTTGCCCCTGAAAGAGAAAGATCAGAATTTTAAACTGGGAAATGTATTCATATTGAGAAATAATATATGCTATTTTTGTAGGCCTGGTAATTGAATACCCATACTATGAAAGATCCCCCCCCTTCCAAAGCCTCTTGCTTTACTTTCATAGTGAAGATCTTACCTTTCAGATATCATAGCTAAAATACTGTTCTCTTAAGTATGATTCAGCTGATGTTTACCTCTATACTTCCTATTAAGCCAAAATTGAACAAGGTTTGGAGAATATACTAAGTTAAATACATATATAATTATATTTGAAACTAAGTTTGAAGTTCACTGGGCCAGATTTTCTTACTCACCTCGATGGCAATGGTGCAAACAATTCCATATACCAGGATTTATATTTTGTGACCAGATCAGGAAAACAGCTATATAATTGAATGCTTTCTTTGGAACATTATATAAAATTGAGTTATACAGACCTGGCACATTCTCTAGCTTTAAGAAAACAGACTTAATTTCACATAAGGGCTCATACTTGTGCAAAATTTTACTAGTTACTAAATTTTCAACTTGACTGAAGAATAGACTATTAAACCGCAAAGAACAATTTTCTGATCTTTTGAATCTCCTAAAATTCTAAAGAGCTTTTGTGTGTTTTTTTAAATGCCCCTTAACTTTTGTAATGTGTACTCTAACCTAATAGAACTAACTGGAATAATTAAACTTCCTCACAGAGTTACTTTTATATAGTTAATATAGCAGTGAATAAAATACCTCTGTTGCATCCCAGGCTTGATATCGGAGCGTCCCTGTCCTGATGTAGTCCGTGAGGTAAAATATAAATAGGCTTATAATTAGCACAGGACTGACAAAAGCCCACATAATTTTCCAGTACCAACTTGGTTCGTGCCCAATCATCGCGCCAAGAGCTTTCTGAAATCTGTTGGGGAAATAAACAATTTTTACATAAATCAAGGGATAGCCACGCTGTGAAAAGACGCAGGGATACTGATAAAGAACTTATACAAAGGAGTCCCTTTCCACTGATCCATTCAGCTAATGGATCAGAACAGCAATTGGATAAGAGGGAAAAGATGATATGCCATTTTTTTACCTCCTTAGCCCATATACGTAACAGATAGCAATCGTTTCCACCAATACAATGAGCAGTAGGGATAAGGTAGCTGCATAGTCATTGAAGATATCAAACCAGTAGTTGCCAGCTTGCATGGTAAATAATAGGCCAACGAAACAGTTGATAATACAAACTCCACCTATAAGAGTAGAGGAAGTAATTTTAGTTGCATCTGAAAGGAGAAGCAGGCACCAAAATAGTTTGTAATGCAACAGATTTTTTTTGTTCTGTTGCACAATGTACTGTTAAATGCTCTGTAATCTCATGTAAAAGTATACTATATAGCTAGAGTGATCAGTCCTGTCCTGACACTTTTGTCTTGCAAAACAGCAAGCGTCATTGATTTGCCAATACTATAGAGCAATATCAAGGAACATGATCAAGCCCTATTTCCTATTTTCAACAGACCAGCAGGTGCCACATCATTCAAATTATCGCAATTGGCAGAAAGGGCTGATGGTATGTTTGCATCTCCCACTCCAGATACGTAAATTGAAGTAATGTATTGTGGACAAGTGGTTGGTTCTAGCACCTCTAATTTATGTCCAAAACAACACATTCAACTGGAATGGCTATATATATATTACAGGTAAAGCCCTGCCAATGAGACTAATGGATACCTGGTTCTTGGATGTATTAGATCAGTGGTTCTCAACCTATGGGTCCCCAGATGTTTTGGTCTACAACTCCCATAAATCCTAGCCAGTTTACTAGCTGTTATGATTTCTGGGAGTTGAAGGTAAAAACGTCTGAGGGCCCACAGGTTGAGAACCACTGCATTAGATCTATTAGGAAATAATCAGATTTACCTGAGATCATCTCTCTGGGCACATGGGAGGAAATGAACTTGCTGTCAGTCAAAGGAGTGAGGATGGCTGCAGTGTTTCCCAGCATGCTGCCTATTCCCAACATCAGCAGCATAATGAAATACAACACTGAATATAGTTGTGACACCTCCATGTTCTTGATGGCTTCGGAATACACTATGAAGGCCAATCCAGTCCCTTGGACAGCCTATCCATGGAGAAAATCCACATTATGGAGACTGCATTGGCAAGTGCAAAGTGTTAGAAGGGGAATCGGTACTGCGGTCTAGCCAACACTTAAATACAGTAGCTGAACCCCAAGATATATTCAAGTGAAGTGAGAAAAGAAACAGCTCACCGTGTCTAGTTCAGCTTCCAGGCTGCAGTTCTTAATCTGTGGCAATAAATCTGCATATTCTCTGGGATGAGCAGATGCTAAAAAATGTTTCATATCATCCAGGTTTTCCATTGTTATCAATCCCTCTTCCAAGTCAAAAAAATTGGTCAGTAATAAGATCACCCTGCATGATAAATTAAACAATCTTTTTGGCAAAAAAAAATAAATCAAAATACTTGTGTTTGTATGTGTGTGCATGTATATTGGTGTGTTTTGGGGGGGGGGGTATACACACACATGCATACTGTACACAGGTCTGTGTAGGTCAATTGATTGGTTGATTTGTACCACAAAGGCTCCCCCATGGCTTGATGGATCTGGACCAAATTTGGCACACATACCATACATTATCCAACTTAAAATAATTTAGTAGTTTCCCATCAGAAGTGCCCTTACATCACGTGATAGCCTTCGAGGGACTCCCATGGGGTTCCGTCTCAGAAATGTACAGAAATGGAGCCCTACATCAATGAAACAAAATGCTGTGTTGCTGTGTGCCTATGAAGGAGGTATTAATCAAATCCACAAATAGTGAAATCTGCAAATGTGAAGGGCCAACTGGGAATCATGAGATTGGGGTATGTTTTGTGATGGAACTGAAGTGGTCACAAAGCAATTTTATTCAAGCCATCACTAATTTTAAGCATACAATATCAGAATGTACATTTATTGGGCTAGAGAAACACTTCCCTTCTACACAATTAAGTCTCCAATACCACCAAACAGAGGAAGCCCTTCCAGGAACATCAAAACTTAAGGTTCCAGTTTCGTCATCCATTTTTATCCTCTGCTACTAAGCCGGCAAAAGAATCCCATCCCTCCAGAAGTAAGATTCCAGTTTCTCTTTCAGAAGGAATTTCTCCCACCAGTGCCAATTCTACAGTTACTTTATCCGTCTTTGCATTGTAGATAGTTATTTATTTCTGAAGAAACAGTGCACATTTGAAATTGCAGCAATGTAAACTGAGACTTGCCTGTTACGTACTTTCAGATGCAGAAGAAAAGAAGGGAACAGGATTAAAAGTCAAGCTTACTTCTTTATGCAGTTCTCATAGTTGAATGTTGCTTTAAAGCCATAAATGGAGAAAGTGACAATGCTGGCAAATACTGAAGTGGTGCTGTTTATTAACGAAACAATGATGGCATGTCGCTCGCAGTTGTTGCTTTGTTCATTGTAGCTAGCAAAAGCTATCAAGCTGCCAAAGCCAAGCCCAAGAGAGAAGAAGATCTGAGTGGCTGCATTAATCCAAGTCTTGGGGTTTGCTAATTCTTCTAGCTGCAAGACATAAATCACAAGGATGGATTGACTGAACAGAAGCTTAGAACATTTATTTATATTTTTAATTTGTTGATAACATGATTTATTAAAAATGTCTGTGTTATTCATGCATTTGGGACAAAGAATGGTAAATATTAGCCTAAATGCAACAGCTAGTCTCAGTTATATTAAATTCATTGATTAAAGGGGTGTAATATAATTGGGACTAACAATTAGACTTGGATCCTAAATCCAGTTAAATCTACTGCTTTAACATAAAGGCATTCATGTTTAATCCTGTGCATTCTTACTCTGGATAAATGCCGCAGAATTCAATGATGCTTCCTTGTAAGTGTGACAAGGACTGTGGCCTTAGTGCGACTTAATTTAAGATAGTCTCAGATGTCAGAGCTGGGGCAGAATAAGCCTTGACCTGTAATCCTCCATTTCAACTCCTTTCCTTAACTTTGAACATTCTTTTGCTATCAATCTTTATACATCTTATTGCACTGAACTGTTACTCGACTGAGAGTTTTTGTGCCAACAAAGATGTCCCTAGCGGCAAGGAGATATGTTATGCAACTGCTGTATAAGATTCTCCATGTCCACATTAATAACAAGTTAAATGCCTTTAGATTTGGGCATTAAAGACACAGTTTTTACAACAGCTGGCTTTCTACATTGCAGTTAAATATTCGTAAAACTAGAGTTACAAACCTGTACCTGTCCCATTTTCAGCAAGCTCCATATTCACAATTTTGGCACTACTGCCATTATCACAAATGACACCCCACCCCCCGCCTCCCCAAGCCTATCTTAATAGCAGCATCCATCAAGCAATAAAGATCTGTCCTGTTGGAAATGGGCTTTACAGGATTACGTTTTTCAACAACTCCCACCAGCAATCTGCAATATAACAAGGAGTTGCTATCCGATTGCTGGAAAAGCGGGGCTGGAAATTAATCCTGCTTCACTCTTTAGTGGAACAGATCTTAATTGCTCAATGCTGGCTATGGAGATGGTAGACAAGATGTAGTTACACATTCATAACTATGTGAAGTAAGATCTCAGCAAATATTCAAGATTTTTTTTTGCCAGAGATCAATAATACCAATACCAATAACACCAATTTATCTTTGATGTATATATTGTGCCCCATTCACTTCTGTGGAAAAGACAGCTCTGCTTCCTTGGAAGGAAGTTTCCTATTGATAGATGTAATACTTTTGAATGATGCACTCTATCAGTATGTTTTTGTCCTACTGAGATCACATTCCTAAGAATTTACTGTATTATACTATATTCTTCATTGGCAGGAAAGTTTAGTTATGAAAGTATACGTTTCTATTTCTATTAGCAATTGTTGAGGATTCTACTGTGCTAGTACCTTGGGTGTGAACATGTACGTCAGCCCATTTGCAGCTCCATGGAGTGTTAGGCCTCTGATTAAATATATTGTGAGGACCACATATGGCATTGTAGCTGTTACATAAACAACCTGCAAGAAACACATACATTTTTTAGTGGAGAAACACATTTAAATCTGAACTTTAGTGCTTGTGTGCTATATTCCAGAAGCATTTTCAAATGCGGAGGTGGGTTTCGGTTTTGGACAAATCTATGTGTCATTACCTAGAATTCGGCGTAGTGAAGCAGCTGCCTCAGGAAGCACATATGGGAGGGGGCAGCAATCCAGGATTGTTCTTCCCAAATTTGCCATTCCTGGCTCTTAGAGTGCAAGGTGTGTGTGCTACACATGCTTTCCTCATCCCTTAAACTGCTGTGTTACCTTCACATGTGGGAGAGAACACTCTCCTATTAACAATGTGGACTGAAGAGTCAACCTCAAAACAATTTTCAGGTATCAGAAGAGTAGTACTTAACCTTCTCTATTACTGAATGTTAAACTTTGCTCAGAACTATTGTTATACCACTTTTAAAGCTCTATCTCCTCATAGTAAAACAAAACAAAACACCCACATATTATTGATCTGTGAGCTTCTCTAATATTCCAATTGTTGCTACCATAACATTTTGGAGTAAAGTTATCATATATATTCATGTATAAGCCAACCTTGTATAAGTCGGGGGCGGGTTTTATGGCCAAAATTATGGATTTTGATTAGATCCAGGGATACTAATATGGCCAATGGTCATTTCACAGAAAAGGTAAAATACCATTTCATGAGGACAGCTGTCCTTAGCCATTATCATTTCTCCAGACCGGCCTTCAAAAAGGACAGAAGGAGCACCACCATGGATAGGATTAATGATCCTTTTAGATTCTCACAGAACAAACTAAGCTCTTGCCTTTTCCCACTCTACTCAGAGAAAAGGTTGATGCTTATTTTTTTGCAAGAGTTAAAGTACAGAACTTACACTGACCCATGGATAAGTCGACCCAGGTTTTAGATTAATTATTTGACTAAAAATTCTGGATTTATACACAAGAATACAGGGTAAATCAAACTTCTAACGTATATGAGTTCTTACTTCAGAAGCTACATTTTGAGGGTGAAAATGTATGAGCTGTAAAGCTCATGATCTGTTTCCAATCAGCTCTGCTCACTGCCGTCTAAAAATACCAATAGATCAGTTAAATATGTGAGCTGACATTTTTATTTCAAGGGATGGGATTCCTTGAGCACAAGTTTAGCTTTGCATATGTCCACCAGAGTGCTCCATGGAGATAACATATCTACGCACTAGCAGTCTCTCTCCAAATAGGAACCGACATGGACATATTTATTTATTTATTTACTGCATTTGTTGACCGCCGTTCTCAGCCCTAGGGCGACTCACGGCGGTGTACAACATATAAAAACAGTTTACAATAAGGAAATATCACAACAATAATATCAACATAACTATCAACAATACAATACAATTACACTAAATCATCCGCGCCGTCTCATCGTAGAATCATAAACCAATCTCGTTGTCCATATTCCGTTCCAGTCATCATTGCCAATTGTTGTAGCACTTAGTTAAACGCCTTCTCAAATAACCATGTCTTCAGTCTTTTGCGGAATGTCATAAGGGAGGGCGCCTGTCTGATGTCTACAGGGAGGGTGTGGGACAATGAGACTGGGACAATGTTTTTATGTTTTCCCTTAGACTGCAACCTGGTTTTAAAGGGTGGATTTTTCCAGGTTTTTCTCCCTCTCTTTTTCATTGTATATTTATTAAAGGTGATGCCTGATGTAATTAGTACTGAACTGGCTTTTAATTTTTAATATGTATGACTATTATACAGTACTATGTTTATACTTTTTATAATGATTTTTTGTATGTTCTTGTGTTGGTAATTGCAATGCTTTACCATGCTGGGAACTGCCCTGAATCCTCTCAGGGAGATAGAGCAGTATTATTATTATTATTATTATTATTATTATTATTATTATTATTTCAAAAACACAGTATGTCACAGCAAATGAGATCTATATGCTGGATTTCGTATCACAAAAATCACAAGTTGAACACTTTACCAAGTGTCTAGGACTGTGTGATGTATTTTTGAATGATGCGCACAGATCCAAGAAAGGTGGTCTTTTGCAGTTGACAGATCACGATTTTGTCAATATTTATTGTTCCCAAATGCCGGCTGAGATCTTTTGGCATGGCACCCAGTGTGCCCATGACCACTGGGACCACTTGTATTGGTTTATGCCAGAGCCTTTACAGTTCAATTTTGAGGTCCTGATAACGGCTGAGTTTTTCTGTTGTTTTTCCTCAATGCCACTGTCACCTGGTATGGCGACATCAATAATCCAAACTTTTTTCTTTTCCACAATTGTGATTTCTGGTGTTGTGTTCCAAAACTTTGTCAGTCTGGATTCAAAAGTCCCACAGTATTTTGGCATGTTCATTTTCCACTACCTTTGCAGGTTTATGATCCCATCAATTCTTTACTGCTTGTAGATGGTACTTATGACATAAGTTCCAGTGAATCATTTGGGCCACAGAGTTGTGCCTTTGTTTGTATTTATTATTATTATTATTATTATTATTATTATTATTATTATTATTATTATTTCTCCAAATGAAACTCCAGGAAGCTTCTTACCTTCCCCGTATGTTCTGTTCCTCTTAGAATACAGAGATAGACCACCAGCCAAGCCAGGATGAGGCAGGCTGCTTGCTCCCATTGTAAACCTCCGGTCTCTTCGATGGATGGAGAAATATTGAGCGTTTTCCTGTACCAGAAGTACTGAGTTGGAGTAGCTTTCTCACACTCTTCTACATAGTCTGTATGATTGCTGTTCAACGGACAGTTTGCCCATGGCAAAGGATCCTTTGGATGTGAAAGAGACATCAAGCACAATGATCTTAAGTAGTATCAGGTCAGATTTAAAATTAGGGGTAAAATTAGGGGTACAGTTTGAGATGATTCGGGACACTGTGTTAATGCTAAACAATCACAGAATGCATACTTCCAACATTTCACGGATGACAGTTGGGACATATGTGGCCAAACAACATCAAAGTGTAGCTAAATGACAAAATTATTAATAAGGAAGAACAGACAAGACAGAATGGTCTGCAGCAGTTTGCTTTTGCCAAAAGCAGTTGGGAAGGGCAATATTCTGCCCTCTCCTCTCTTCTGAGTGAGTTGAATGTAAACTTGTCCCTCTGCACTTTGAACTCAGTTTGCAGAAGTTGACATAAGTTGAGGACAAAGGGATAGAGTGGGAGGATGAAACTGGGACATTTTAAAAACAACTGGGAAAGTGGTGTGAAAAAGGATTCATCATTTAGTACTATCCCTGACAAATCAGGTCAGTTGGAGAAAATGGGAACTCAGAAGAAAAGGTAAGAGTAATAGATAACTCCTTCATATCAGTGGGGACTATTTATGTGAAACAGGGTGAGGTCACATATCTAGTGTCACAAGGAAGTTGTTTACTGGCTTGTTAGTCAGATACATTGCTAAACATTATTTCCTAATGAACATCCAGAATTCAAATGTGGTTATGTAATGTCACTCTTATCAGCAAAACTCAATATGTCATTCTGGAAACTATTATATAGCTAGATAGCTGATTTGAAAATACTTTCTTTTCATGGTCACCCTTGCTAGAGAAGGATGTCTAGAAGATATATGTATTCATATACTACTTTGAACAATATAACAGCTTTTTGAAAAATAACACACCTCATACAGACTTGCAGCTAGAGAAGGCTTCAGCAACAGAGGAATTTTAAAAGGTCATTGATAAGCAATTGTAACAAGTATGGTATATATCAAGATTCAGAAAGAGCATGTCTCCCATTTGGGGGAGGAAGACTGCAAGGCACTCTTCTCTTCAGCTTCTGGTCTTCCCAGTATCTGGTTGGCCAGTTGCAGTAAGAAACAGATAAAATCCAGATTATCTGCTTTGAACTGGATTATATGGCAGTGTAGAAGGGGCTTGGGACAAACTTGGGATAAACTGATCTTTGCTCTGATCCAGCACAGCTTAGGTTGTTAAATGGACCTTAAGGGGGACTTCTATTCAATTAATCACACAGAAATTAGGCATTAACCTTTCCAAAACTGCAGTCAAGACAATGTATCAGGAACAATTCTGTACATAGTTTGATTGACTTGAGTGGGAGATAGGCTAAATCAACTGGTGGTGCATCTACACTAACAAATTAGCACTTTAACTGTCATAACTCAACAATATGGAATCCTGGGACTTATGTTTAGTGAGGTACCAACACTCTTTGGCAGATCTTGCAAAATTACAACTCCCGGGTTTCCATAACATTTAGTTCTAGCAGTTAAAGCATCATCAAACTGTATTGATTCTACAGTGTCCGTGCACCCTTTGTCTGGGTTTTATCCATAGTGCAGATTGTTTGTGGAATTTCTAGTTCTAAGAATGTACCAAATAAGTCTTTATAGGTCTACCACAACCTGTTATCCTCTTGATGTGTTGTGCTATAAATTCCATCATCTCCAGCCAGCTGTGCTGATCTGGATTTTGAGGGACTGTAGTAGTTGAAGTTTGGTCTATAGATCAGATCTATAGATCAGAGGTGAGAATACCAAGACAAGTTTTTGCACTGTCCTAGGGTGATCCAAAACACATGCATTAAAATTTATATATGGACCTTAATAAAATGGCTAAATTAGTGTGGTGAAGGAATGACTTTTAATGCATGCCTACCTAGATGTACACTACAACCAACTTGCATGCAGTATACAGATGCAAAGAGAGAAATGATCAAAAGAATGATTTTTTTAAAATCTAAAAACGGTTTGTACAAGTGATACGGTTCTTTTTCTTTCCTCTGCAACTAACTTTTCTCAAAACTTGCAGAGGGTGGCAGCTATATTTGCCACATGCACTCAAGCCAAAGGTCAGTCTGGGAGATCATGATGTGCAGAACCCTGCACTTCAAAGCATTTTGACTCACCTGGAATGAATGAAAAAGATACCAGAACGCCCAGGCATTGATAACATTGTAGTACATAGAGAGGAAGAAGGAAACAACAACACTGGCAACACCTGAAAAGTAGAAAAAGAATGGAAGAAAAAACCATCACTTTGCAATTGCATCACCACTTTGCTCATAAATGCCCTGAATTTTCTTAGATCAATATTTCCACATGGCTTTTTTGAAAGACTGAACTTCTGAAAGCCTCCAATGTCCCTTGACTATGAACCTTACTGTACACAGACCACTTTTACTGACTGACTGACTGACTGGCTGACTGACTGACTGACTTAAGCAATCCCTCGTAGCTTGATGATGATTGTCTTCCAAATGTGGTGTCTTGACAGTGGGTCCGTAGGTGGCTGTGGAGCCCTATTCTTGTTCTGCATCTTCTCCCACAGTAGGGCATCTGTTTCCAGATGGAAAGCGGACCCAGTCAGGGTTGGCTTGACGTGCCTTCCTCTTGGCACATTTCTCCCTTTCGCCCTCCATTTGTACCTCTTTGAATTCTTCAACATTGCTAGTCACAGATGACCTCCAGCAGGCCCATAGCCAGGATTTTGTTTCGGAGGGGGTGGGGGGGGGGCGAGTCTGAGTGAAAGAGGGTCTACCCTAGCAAACCTTTTGTATCGTTACACCAATACCCCCATGCATATGGGATATATTGAGCATGGTGATCAGATCATGATATGAATAAACATAACTTTTTAAATAATGTACCAGTAAGGCCTTCTCACGGACCACCATGAGAATTTCGGGGGGGGGGCTGAAGCCCCCCAAGCCGGGGGGGCTTGGGGGGCTTCAGCCCCCCCCCAAATTCTCATGGTGGTCAGGCTACATGCCTGACCTCCAGCTAGAGCACTCAAGGGCCAGGGCTTCCCAGTTCTCGGTGTCTATGCCACAGTTTTTGAGGTTGACTTTAAGCCCATATTTAGATCTCTTTTCCTGTCCACCAACATTTCATTTTCCATTCTTGAGTTCGGAGCAGAAACGGTGATTGGGTATTCGAACAACGTGGCCAGTCGAGCAGAGTTGATGGCGGAGGAGCACCAATTCAATGCTGGTGGTCTTTGCTTCTTCCAGCACGCTGACATTTGTCCACCTGTCTTCCCAAGAGATTTGCAGGATTTTTTGGAGACAGCACTGATGGAATTGTTCCAGGAGTTGCATGTGATGTCTGTAGACAGTCCACGTTTCGCAGCCATATAGCAGGGTTTTGAGGACAATGGCTTTATAACAGCGGTTCTCAACCTTTGGGTTCCCAGTTGTTTTGGCCTACAACTCCCAGATATCCCAGCCAATTTACCAGCTGTTAGGATTTCTAGGAGTCAAAGGCTAAAACATCTGGGGACCCACAGCTTGAGAACCACTGCTTTATAAACAAGCACCTTGGTATCCTTATGGATGTCCCGGTCCTCAAATACTCTCTGCTTCATTCGGAAGAATGCTACACTCACCCATTTTTCTTTTCTTTTTCTTTTTCCCTTTGGGGGAGAACAGCAAATACTGCTGCAGAATCTGGGTAACAATGATCTTTATCGCACTGAGGTGGCTGTTTGGCAACAGGTATCACACAATGATGTATGATAAGGATCTTTACTGCTACTATGCCGGAATCCACTTCTGTGCGATAAAGCTCTATGAGGAAGCCACCACAGACATACCTTGGTTTACAAAGACTCTGGCAACAAAGATCCCTTTTACAAAGCCTTTTTTACATCCCCTTTCTTCCCTGTCATTGAAGAAGGAGGAGTGTTCACACAGTGTTGCAAGACAAAGTGGAATATGCCGCATAGTCTGCCCTTCACTCCTAAGTTAACCTGCTTTCTTCTGTGCAATAAAATCCTAATGCATGATGAATAGTTCATAGCTTATGCATAACTTAACTCAGTATTTCTCAACCTGGGGGCCAGAATCCCTGGGAGGGGGGGGGTCACAAGGGGTTTCATAGGGGTTGCCAAAGATAATCAGAAAACATATTTCTGATGGTTTTAGGAATCCCTTTGGCAGAGAAGGCTGAAGATCTCTCCACCTGCCCTTCACTTCCTTTTTGGAAACAGACAGTGAATCCTCCCATCAAAAGCCCTCATTTGCTGTGATTGGCAAGCCTCTCAGCCAAGGGAAGGGCTGCTTCTGAAACTGCAAGTGGGGAAAGGAGAACAGACGTGCACTGTGCAAGGCGGCATGATGCACATGTGCATCGAGGGAGAGCATGCGAGGCTGGAGGGAGGCTCGCACCAGCCTCCGTCCAGCCTCTTTGGTGGTGTTCAGAATGCTCTTTGATTGTAGGTGAACTATAAATCCCAGCAACTAAAACTCCCAAATGTTAAGGTCTATTTCCCCCAAATTCCATCAGTGTTCACATTTGGGCATATTTAGCATTCGTGCCAAGTTTAGTCTAGTTCTATCATTGTTTGAGTCCACAGTGCTGTGTCGATGTAGGTGAACTACAACTCCAAAACTCAAGGTCAATGGCCACCAAACCCTTCCAGTATTTTCTGTTGGTCATGGGAGTTCTGTGTGCCAAGTTTGTTTCAATTCCATCGATGGTGGAGTTCAGAATGCTCTTTGATTGTAGGTGAACTGTAAATCCCAGCAACTACAACTCCCAAATGACAAAATCAATCCCCCACCCCAACCCCACCAATATTCAAATTTGGGCTGATGGGGTATTTGTGCCAAATTTGGTCCAGTGAATGAAAATACATCCTGCATGTCAGATATTTACATTATGATTCATAACATAATGTTATGGTTGGGGGTCAGCACAACATGAGGAATTATATTAAGGGGTCACAGCATTAGGGAGGTCAAGAAACACTGACTTAACTGCATATTTTCAATGTCAAAACAACATTTTAGCTACCAACCTGGTCAGAGTCCATACAGAGAATAGCAAGAAATAGAATTGTACTAAATGTATTGGGCTGTTTTCAATTTAGAAACCAAAGGAGACATGAAGGGGAAGTCATCAACTTCAAATAGTCAAGAATTACTTCACAGAGAGATAGAAAAAATAGTGCTATATATCAACATGAACGCACCAACCCCACAGAGGTAAGGACTTATTGCTTTCCATGCTCCAATGCTCCCTTGTCGCATGTGCTGTCCTACTGCAAGCTCCAGGTATAACAATGGCATTCCTTCCAATATTAGCATGATCAGATAGGGGATTAAAAATCCACCTGCAAGAGAAAGAAATGTCTGTGTTTAGGCAAGTATTGAATTTTGTTTACATTAAAAAAATAGTTAACAGTTAAAAAAATGCTTGTTGCTATTCCACGCTTTCAGAATGTCATGGGAAGCAACTACTTACCATTCTGGTGACAGGAGGCTTTAAACAGCTGTTAGTGTTGTGCAATTGTGATCCCACAGCTGTGTAAAGTCACTTTTCTTGGGGGGGGGGCATTGTGGGATCAAGCCTTTGGCTAATAAATAATGAGGAACATGTGCAATGAAAATTCGGAATGGCTATAGTAGACGATTTCTGGAACATGGGATTTTAATGTTTATACTAGGATGATTTTATGCTTTGTCTGAATGTTTAAATTTTATGTATGTCTTATGTTTAATGGTTTTAATTGATTTTAAATTCATAGTTATATGTAGTAATTAGTTACTATGATTTTGTTGTGTACTTTATGTTGGCATTGAATTTTTGCCATTAGTGTGTTGTAAACCGCATTAAATCCCCCCAGGGGTGAAAAAGGTGGTAAATAAAGACAGTAAATAAATAAATAAATAAACTCTTCTCTCCCGCAGTGCAGCTTCCCCGCTTTCTCACTTTGCCTGGTGAAAACGATATGCCAGAAGTGCTTGGATTCGCTTTACAAGAGTCCCAAGATTGTGAAACAATCAGGGTTTATTGATGGGCAGCTTCTGACAGCTCCATCACAGGGAGATGGTGGACTGGCAAATGGCTATCACACAACATGGTGCGGTAAGAACTGTCACCAAAATTGACAGACCTGCTATTGTGCCAGTTTGCCACTTCTGTGCAATAAAATCCTATTGCATGCTGAATAGTTCATAGCTTATGCATAACATATCACTGAGTTTTAGGAAAGCAAGACATAAATGTAACAGCAATAACAATAACAGCAATACTTGCTCGGTGCTAGGAATGGCTAGGGATTGCTTTTCAATTTGATTATTTAAATAATAATTTGCCCCCAAATCTCAAATGTAGTCATATATGGGGTAGAAAGGCTTCAGTGTGTTAAGCAGTTGAATGAGAATTTTAAAAACTACTAGATTCATATATCCCAACAATTAAGTTCAGCTAAGGAGAAAGATGGAAAGAAGGGAGAAGGAAAAAGAAACTGGGATGTTTTAAAAGGGGATTAAAAAGTTGGGTGACAGGGGATGCCAAGAAAACCCAAGAAGTTTGAATTGACTTGAAAGCCAATGACATCAACAACATAGCAGGTCTAAATCACCATTAGAACAGATGTGCTGAAGTTAATGGGTAATTGTTGCTCCTAACTCATTGATTTCAGTGAGCCACAACTTACCCTGGATCCAATCCAGTTGTCTATTACATTGTAAGTACATGGACACATCTGGTTTAGATTAGCAATGCCAGAATAGCTTTCTGTAAATAATTTTAAACTCTCAATGTGATTAAGAAGAGTCTTTCACACAGTGCAGACTCTGTGAGTGTTAAAGGATAACTAATAGTTGTAAAAACATTAAAATGTAATCATGGGAAGAGAGGAAAGCTCAAGTGTGGTGTGGCATGTTTAAGCAAAACAAAATGCCAGAAAGTAAGTTGGATGAAAATCAGTTGAACCTTTTGGTGATTTAGAACTGAGATGTAGCTAGTTATCATATAAGAAAGAACATACTTAAAGTAATATTTTCCCCCATCACTCCTCAAATACGGAATAGATGAAACTTCCAATTCAAGCCTGGCATAAGGCATTTTGCTGCCTGTGTCAAAGCATAATACTTCCTCCCAAACCCATTCCACATATGAAAGCAAATCAAATGGGGAAATGAATCTTATTTAACACTGGGATGGCATAGTAGTCTTTCTTACGGTTGAGTATGATTATCTAATCCACTGTTTCTCAAACTTTGCTCCTCTAGACGTTTTGGACTTCAGATGGTAAGCTGGTTGGGATTTCTGGGAGCTGAAGTCCCAAACACCTAGAGGAACAGAGTCTGAGAAACACTGAATGGGCTCACACTCCTCCATCTTTCTCCTATCTATCCACTAGAGTTGTGCATTGATTCGTTTTCCTTCATTACATCCATTCTTTCGTTGCTTTCATTACTTTGGGAGCATGTAACGGGGAGGTTCCTCCCGGTATGAAAATCAGCTTGCCATGAAAGCAAGTGGGAGCTGATCCCGGCTCCTCGCCTGCTTTTCATGAGCAGCCTCCTTGCCTTGGAAAGAATGTGTGTGTGGTGTGGTGTGCAGGCCCAGAAAGTGTGTGCACCTGCCTACAGCTGAATGCCTCTCTCTAGAGTAGGGAAACAGGTAGGAAGCCTCCTTAAAGTATGTGCTTGCCTGCAGCTGAGCACTTCTCAGAAACAGCTTAAATGCCTATGATGGAAAGCGAAGCCTGGGAAGCCCCCAGCCATAATGGGCCAAAACTTTCGGCACCCCAGAGCGAAAACAGATATCTGACCTCCAGATTTTGAGAAGCTCCCAACAATGGATTGGGGACCCCAGAGAAAGCCAGGACACAAAATGGGTCAAGCCTACTATCCACTACAGCTGCCTATGGCAATTCCTTCTTTCTGTAGAATATTAAGACCAGCTGGAACTCAAAGTGATACTTGTCAACCAGTCTGAAGATAATTTGCCACAAGTGCTGTCTGAATAATTTTGCTTCCTTTTCTTACATTTTTAATCAACTTTATGAAGAAAAAGAGGAGAAAAGAGCTCTTTCTTCCCCTCTCCCCTCCTCAGGCTATCTATTATCTATCCATCATCCGTCAACCTAAAACTGGTTTCCTTCTGCACCTTTAGAATTTGGGTGACTTGAAAAAGGGACTCCTTAGTGTCATTCCAGTGAAAAATTGGCCAAAGTAACAAAATTAGCCCAGAGTCTAGAAATCTAAATCAAAGGAAAAGATGTATTCTGCAAGCCGATCCTACCATCAGGCAAGCGAGGATGAGCTGCTCAAAAGGGCTTTAGAAAATGGACTTGCCCATCCCCACCAGCCTTCACCATCTCCAGAAGCCCCTTGAAACATGCCTTCCTTTCATCTCCTTATTGTATGCAGTAACAAACACTTTGTGTTCAATGCTCAGGAGGCCTTAGGAGATGTCGTTCTCTCAAAGGATGCTGCTTCAGGCCTCATCTACATTGCCATATAATTCCATTTCATAATGCAGTTTAAGTGCATTGAACTCCATTATATGGCCATGTATTCATATACTGTATTTCAATGCAGTTAAACTGCATTATGAAACTACATTATATATAAGTGTAGATGGGTCTTCAGCTGGACCATAGGGAAGGCTGAGCAAAGGAAGATAGATGCTTTTGAACTGTGGTGTTGGAGGAAAGTGCTGAGAGTGCCTTGGACTGCCAGAAGATCCAACCAGTCCATACTTCAGGAAATAAAGCCCGATTGCTCATTGGAGGGAAGGATAGTAGAGGCCAAGATGAAGTACTTTGGCCACATCATGAGAAGACAGGAAAGCTTAGAGAAGACAATTATGCTGGGGAAAATGGAAGGAAAAAGGAAGAGAGGCCGACCAAGGGCAAGATGGATGGATGGCATCCTTGAAGTGACTGGATTGACCTTGAAGGAGCTGGGGGTGGTGACGGCCGACAGGGAGCTCTGGCGTGGGCTGGTCCATGAGGGCACGAAGAGTCGGAAACGACTGAACGAATGAACAACAAGAACAAGATGGGTCTTCAGATATGTTCTGAGGTCTGGTAAGGACAGCAAAGGAAGGCAGTGGTGGAATCTTCTCTATTTTGATTTTTTATCTGACATGGAGATGTACACGCAGTGGGCCTTTGCTATCTGCTAGGGTGTGCCTCCAGGACCTCTCAAAGATGCCAAAAATATGTGGATACTGGTCCCATTGTATACAATGGCATAGTAAAATGGCATCTCTTATTTAAAATGACGAGCAACTCAAATGAGCGCCAGGGCTCAGCAGAAATTTGGCAGTCTTTCTTCTAAAAGCACCTCTATTTCCATCCTTGGATCGCTGCAGCCTGTTGCAACATCTTTCGAAACATCTTTGTTTTGGTCATATCACAAGCGTGTGAAGGAAGAAATATCGAAAAGGACACACACGTTGGAGGCCAGCCGATTCCCTGAGTGGCAGCCAGTGGGGTGAGTGGAAAGAATGTGACCTGTAAACCCAGCCTTTGGTGATGCTGACATCTCATAGGAGGTGCATTCGCCAGCATGGCAGGAAAACTCACCCCCAATATGTCATTTTCAGTGGCACCCCCTGTGAGGACAACCTTCAAATAAACATTATTCTGGCTCAGGCCCCTTTCTTCGACTTTGAAATCACCTCAAAGCAACTGACTGACTCAATAGAAAACATGTTTTTGTCTCTAACCTTCCTCAGTCAGCTTTGTACAGCTGGCCCAAATATTTATGTAAATAACTGTTATTTGTTAATCTCCAGCATTAACATTCTTTAAAGTGGGGACTGTTTCACACTAGAAATGAGTGCAATCAGCACGGTGGCTGATGCAGGCAAACTGAAATGACTGTTCGGCCATAATCCGTTTTATTTGGGGTATTATTGTGGTGACCTCCTGCCTCTGCCTTTATTAACAGCTCCTTTGTTTGGAAGTTAGGTAACTTCTTTGTTCTCATAAAGGGAGTTCTGAAACACTGAGCAACTCTTCATACCGCAGTGGTGCCCTTTCGCAGCCGTAGGCCATACGAAAATGAAGAGACTGCCCTACATTTGGAGTGAGTCAGATTTCCAATGGGTTGTACACACTTACGGTGTTTGTAACCTTCATTTGTCAGGTGAAATGGTCCCCCAAATAGACAAAATGTGGGGCAATTCTGTAATACATCATCTAAAAAAGTTACTTTTCAAAGCATTGTTGGGTTAGCAGTAGCTGTAATATAACTCAATGTCTTTTTGGCCACTTTAAAGCTTTACACGAGCGTGCCGACCCAAGATTTCTAGCATCTTGTAAACACACATTTTGTGAGTCTCAGCATGAGATAACTCAAGATATTTTGCTGCCTAAGGTGAAGGACAAGGTGGTACTCCACTGACCTCTTTGCCGTGTAACCCTTTTATTTTCCAAATTATGTGTATCAATAATGAGAGTAGGATTGGTGGGAAAACAAGATAGAAGTACAATGGAAATTTGTGGGGGAAGCTTGCCCCAAAACTCTTGAGTGAAGCAAACAAGGGAATGTGCACACATCCCTGCAAATAAACAAACAAACCCTCAAGTGGACCACCAGTGGTCCGCAAGAATTAAAATATGGTCTGCTGCCTCAATGTTGCTACTATGGATAATAACACAGCCTAATAAAAAAAAACCTTGGTGTCCTTGTTTTTAGGCCTGTTCCTGGGGTTATTTGGGGTGTTGATTCAGAAAATTGTATTGGCTCTAGATTATTAAATATGGCTTTCTTTGGGCGAGCAGATAACAACTACTGGATGGCATATGTTCTGTATTGGAAACTAGAGCTGATATGGTCTGTCCAATGCAATGGTCTGAATTAGCACCCCAAATAATCAAACTGAATCTAAAGTTGACCAAAAACTGTGTTGTAACCCTTTTGGTACTAATGTTGGAGAGTGGTCCCTGGTCAAAGTGGTCCCTGGTCCAAAAAAAAGGTTGGGAACCACTGATCTACACTGTAGGGTTAATGTAGTTTGCAATACTTTAACTGCCATGGCTCAAGGCTATGGAATAGTAGAGGCTATAGTTTTACAAGATCTTTAGCCTTCCTTGCCAAAGATTGCTGGTGCCTCAACAAACTATAGCTCCCATGATTCAATAACACTGAGCCATAGCAGTTAAAGTAGTTTCGAAATACATTTATTCTACAGTGAATGCAGTCTATGTTTCCAAAAGAATTTTAAACACAGAGAGGATAAGCTGACATTTGCAATCTTACCCGAGGAAGCAAAAAAAAAAAATCTTAGTCTGCCCCTGGTTACAAACAATATATTTCATTAATTGCTTAAGTTCTTCCATCTTTCATACCAAAGTGCACCCATCCCACCAGTAATAAGAAAATTGGGAAATTTAATGGAAAACCATGGGAGTGTGACAACTGAGAGAAGATGCATTTTGGAGCTCCTGTAAAATTACACATAGCATAATAAATAAAAGCTTTGCCTACAAGTCCCATTGGTTGTAGTGGAATTCGGCTGCCATTTGTTTCCTCATACTATGCATTTGTTAAAAACCTAACGAACTTTCTATGCATGATGAGTAAAAAACATTGTCATAGCAACTTACAGCATTTTAATATTATTGAAAAAAATAATAGTAAGAATGTAATGGTAATTATTACAATTATGGAGATGACAGTTTAACCAACCACCTTACTCATCATATGCATTGTAAATTTTCCACTAGTGATCCATTAAAATCAACTAAAGAGATTGAAAGTTAAGCTTGAAGGAGGGATACAAGGTATCATTACTAACTTTTCTAAACTTTTATAGCGGTTTGGCTGGATATCACATCATCAAGTCAAATTATCCTTCTCTAAATATGACTGGAGCCAAATCTCAGTCATCATCTCATACTTTTTTAAAATAACATTTTGGATTAAAAATAAAGGCACTTGTTCCCTGATGATGATGATAATGATGACGACAGCAATCTAAAATCACACTCACCTCCTCCGTGCATCTGACATAAATAAGGAAACCGCCATACGTTCCCCAGTCCCACTGCATAAGAAATGCAGGCAAGCACAAACTGGAAGGGATTGTCCCAGAGTGGCCTGGATTTCTCCGCTTCCATCCTCAGGTACTGGTTCCCCGCAATGTGGGCTTTTGCCTTGATTCCTTCAGGTGCTCTCCAAGCCCTGCTGGAGTCCCGGTGCCAACTTAATTATAAGAGGAAACCGCTTGGCAATTGCTATGCAAGCTTTTTAATTGCTAATCTTATTAACAGGCACTTTGCAAAGTGGGATTGCCGGAGAGACAGATAGAAAGGAAAGCAAGTTGTACAATAAAAATTTCCAGAGAAATTATTGTTTAGATTTCGGAGTGTATTGCTGGGGAAGAACTGAAGTTTGGCAGTCTAGCATGGTCCCATGCTGGCTTGGTGTCGAAAACATTTCAGGTTGCGCAAGAGTCTGCTGTGACAGATCCATGGGGTTTTGGGAACTATTTGCACCTGTCAGCATCTTGCTTAATGATTTGTATGGGGAAAAATTGACCACACAGTATGGGTTTGGGTTCATACACTCTCCACCTTACAAACATTGTCTTTAATTGGTGAGGTATCATACCGAACACTGGGGAGGAGCTTTCCCTGAGATATCAACAACATTTTGCCTGGGCATTTGATCAAAAAGGAATTATGAAGGAGAAAAACAAAGTAAGCAATGGGGTAGCATTGAAATATGCTTTATTTTTCGAGAATTGCAGGTCAAAAAAGGACAAGCTTTGTCAAGATTGCCTTGGATCTCAAAGGGGACTTGGGGTAGAAGCTGTTTTGATTTGGTAAATCTGTAATGGTATCATATGTGGATTTAATGTTTACAAAAAAAAATGTGAAGGAAGAAGGCACACTGATTGGTTAACCAACATAATTTATATACGTCGTTTCAATGCGAATGGTCTCAAACGACTATCAAATTTCTAGCTCAATCTGTGGGATATACAGCTACTGTTTTGTTGCTCTTATGTTGTGATTATGAAGGTTTCAGCCACACACTCTCTGGCTTTGTTATTTAAAAACTAACCTAACTTTTGGAAAGTCACAACCTTTTGGGGAAAGAATGGCCTTTGAGATCATAACCTTTTGAAAAACCAGAATCTTCAAAGCCTTTTTGGAAGCGTGACCTTTTGGAGATTAATTTACATTCAGACCATTTGGAATGATCATAAACCTTTTGTAAAGTATGATCTTCCTGAGAAAAGTTAAATACTTGATTGAGTGAATCTTTCACTTGGTTGTAAATATCCACTTGTATTTATGTAAGGCAAATTAGGTTTCTCAGCAGTTAGACTGATATACTTGGTTATTTCTTTGAACTGTGAGGAACAAAGATTATGCCAATGCACAAAATATGTAGCAGATCTTCAGAAGTGTTGTTTCTGTGCCCAAAAACATCTTCTTCTTGTTGTTGTTTATTTGTTCAGTCACTTCCTACTCTTTGTGACCTCATGGACCAGACGATGACAGAGCTCCCTGTTGGCCATCACTACCCCCAGCTCCTTAAAGGTCAAGCCAGTTACTTCAACGATAACATCAATCCATCTTTCCCTTGGTTGGTCCCTCTTCCTTTTTCCTTTCATTTCCCCTAGCATCATTATTTTCTTTAAGCTTTCCTGTCTTCTCATTATGTGACCAAAGTACTTCATCTTTGCCTTTAATATCCTTCCCTCCAGTGAGCAGTCGGGCATTATTTTCTGGAGTATGGACTGGTTTGATCTTGTCACGGTCCAAGGCACTCTCAGAATTTTCTTCCAACACCACAGTTCAAAAGAATCTATCTTCCTTCACTCACCCTTCCTTATGGTCAAGCTCTCACATCCATAGGTTACTACAGGGAATACCAAAAACATCTACACTCCCATAAAGCATATTTGGTTTTAAATCATGCTCTCAAGAGACAAAAATAAGTTCATTAAAAATAACATAGTTGGTCTACTCATAACCTTCATGTATTCAACATACAGGTGCATAACTTGTCAGTTCAGTTACATATAGGTTTGAAGTGGTGTTACTGTAATAGCAATAAATGGGGATCTTTCTTAGAATCAAAGAGCAGCTTCTTAACATTCTGGGAGTCTAATGGAGTCTGTCCTCTAAAATGGAGTCTCAGGTCTGAATAGTCCCAGATCTGATCACATGGTATGCAGTCCCTCCCACAACCTCAAACAACATAGAGTTAAGGGAAAACTGCATACCAATACACACATATACAATATAGTAAGCAACCTGAATTATATACATAACAAATAACTAGTATAGGAGGCTTGTAGAAGGTTTCTATTTCCAGCACTAACATCCATTGGTTTTGATAGCAGATCTATTTTAAGTATGACTAAGCCTGGATGTGACCCACAGTGTAATTTTGTTTTCATTCTTGTATGCATTATTAATTATGTGAAATTCCATGTTAATTAATTCCACATAAGGTAGCTGAATTAACGATAAGTATCAAATTCTTCAACAGTTGGCAAGATCTGTTTTTCTTGTTTCTTTTTTTAAAAAAGCCTCTTTGTTAAGTTGTTTAAAAGGTACATGTGTTTGGCACGATTGCATACACATTTGGGCAAGAAAAATACAGCATTAAAATAAAGGATCCACAAGTTTTCTATTGCAGTTGTTGGAAAGAGTAGTGATTTCCTTAAGAGGCAAATATAGGAAATTTCCTTTAAGTCTAACCGAGAAATACATTACTTAATGAGGCAGTGCGATGCTCTGCTGATGACTTAGTTTGGGATATAAAAGGTAAGTCATTGACACCTCGGTTAAAAATACATAATGGTAATTCTATAAAGCATGAGTTTATAATGGCAAGTTAATAAATGATAAGACAGTCTGTGAGATAAGAACACTGCTGGAACACTGATGGACAAATATATGACAGAAAGGAACATCAGATAAAACACTGGGGCATAATTTAAGTTAAATATTTCCTCAGCTTTTTGCATCTCCATGAAATGTAAGGCTGGAATCCTGCACTCATTTACCCAGGACAAAGTTCCATTCAACTCAACAGAATTTATTTTTGAGTAAATTCAGATTTCCTGCTTCCTGAATAGATAGATGCAGGCATCCAACAAGACTAAAAGCCCACATTTGGTTGCTGTGAGTCACCCTTGGTTACTAATTTGTTCAGGTGTCCACAACTTGGAGACCTCCAGATATTTTAAATGACAACCCCCATCAACCATGGCATGGCTGATGGTCAGGGATTTATTTATTTTTGTCGTTTCAGGGGCATCACTTCTGTTGTGAGAGAATTGGCTGCCTGCAAGGACGTTGCCCAGGGGACGCCCAGATGATTTGATGTTTTTATCATCCTTGTGGGAGGCTTCTTTCATGTCCCCACATGAGGAGCTGGAGCTGATAGAGAGAGCTCATCCGCCTCTCCTCGGATTCAAACCTGAGACCTGTCGGTCTTCAGTCCTGCCGGCACAGGGGTTTAACCCACTGCGCCACCGGGGGATTATAAGCGCTATAATAAAAACTGCAGAGCAAAGACTGTCTCGTGTCATACAGGTTGTTATTGTGATATGAAGATGGTAGGTCTTCCTGAAAACCATTTATTGCTCTTACAGGAAAAACCAGCTGATTCCTAATCTATCTAAAACACAGACGTGTGCTTATCATCTTAAGAACAGACAAGTATCTCGAGCTCTGAGGATTACCTGGGAAGGAATCCTACTATAGCATTGCAACACACCCAAATATCTGTGAGTTACCTTGGACTGTGCTCTGACCTACAAGAAGCACTGCCTATTTGAATATCAGCCAGCATACCAACGCCTTAAACAAGAAAAAAACATCAAAGATCTATAAAGATACTCGCAGGAACACCTCAGCACGCGAGAGTACAAAAATAGCAGGCTAAAACGTGGAACCTCAGCCCATAGCTGATACCAAATGAGAGACTCCTCACTGAGCACACAGAAGAGTGGGCGACTTGGAAGGTGCTGAACAGACTGCATGGTGTATGGTGCTCAGCTGGGCCCCTTCCCCAGTTTTGCCCCATTAGAGCTGGTTCAGTCAAAGTTTCTGAGATCGGCCTTGCAGGTCCCTAAATGCGTTTCTAATGCCACCCTGCGACTAGAGACGGGCTTTATGAGAGTGGAGGCCAGGGTGTGGGTGGCCATACTCAACCTCTGGCTCAGACTATCCCGTGCACCCTTTGGTCTTGCCCCACTAACCATGAAGGATGACTTCCAATCCACATGGAAGCAGGCGGTAGCATCAAAAATCTCATTGGGATTCTCTCCAGGTCTACTGTTCGCTATGGATTACAATCAAGCCAAAGCACTTATTAAACAATGTATCACAGACACAGAGCGACAACTAGATCTGGCCTCGGTTCCAACCTTCCTTATCAATGAAGACAGCAGATATCTTGCCTCCCTGGCTTTCACCTTCCAGGCTTTCACCCTGGCTCGATGCCACGCTCTCCCATCAGCTGTACTCGAAGGCCGCTACAGGAAGATCCCTTTCCCAGAGAGGCTCTGCCCCTGTGACTCGGGTCATGTAGAAACAATAGAACATGTGCTCCTTCAGTGCTCGTTCTACAGGGATATCCGTGCCAGGCTTATTTTACCTCTGATATACAAGCACCCAGGCCATTCAGGACAATTTTATACCTCCCTGCTGCTTGCAGATATTAATTCAGCTACAACCTACAATGTTGCAAAGTTTGTGCAGCAGTATACAAAATCCGTCAGGGAATAACTAGTCCCAAAAGTTAACTGTGTGTCCAGTAATCTTCTTCCCTGAATCTACAATTTGGTGATGGATCTGGGCATTGTATGTTTTTACCCTGTTTCCCCTTCCGCTCCCTCACTCATATTGTGCTTCAGTCGTTATATTTATATTTTTAATGTACCAAACATACCAAGTTGGTATGAAAATGTGACTCTATTTCCTGTGCTGGTCAATGACCGAAATAAATGATTTGATTTGCCTGCACTCTGGCATCATGAGATGCAGAGCCAACCTTAAGAAATGGAGCCACGAAGTGAAGTCCACAACATGCAAGTGTGGAGAAGAGCAAACCACAGACCACGTACTACAATGCAACCTGAGCCCTACCACATGCACAATGGAGAACCTTCTTATAGCAAGACCAGAGACACTCCAAGTGGCCAGCTACTGGTCAAAGGACATTTAGTATAATGCCAAGTTTCTAAAACTTCGTGTTTTTAAAAATACATTACAACTTTACCCTCTGTTTGCTTCTGATACAATAAATAAATAAATTGCTATATATTTCTTTTCGTGGTTATTAGGGAGACCAGTTTAAGCAGATGCTTAATCTGTTCCGATCTCTGTGTTACTTACAAAGAATTATTGTACTGCTTTGCAGTCCTCAACTGTTCTTATTAAAATGAGTATACTTCAAGGACTTGTTTCGCTTAATTTCCCTCTCATTATGATTGCAACTGCAATGAAA